CTCGTTTTTTAACATCTTTCATCCACCTATTATAGAATCACGGGATTTAAGCACCGGATTGAGGTATAAACTACTAGAAAGAGTCCGTCGAAAGCAGGCTACTAAGGTTTCTTTGTCCCATTTCAAAGGCTGATCAAAAGCTATTACAAGTGGCTATGGAAAAGTTGGAGTAGCAAAAATTATGGAATATAGACCAAATGTCGATGTGGTTCTTTTAGATGATTACCTAAGCAACAGAGAAAAATAGATGTCTTAACCAGAAAATTCTATCTCTATATGGGTCCTAACCAAAAAATTCTATCTCTATATGCCAAAGGGATGTAGCATAAATGATTTTTGTTTAAAGAAATCGACTTGAAAGATCATTTTAGGTTGATACAATTGTTTACAAGCTCGTATTTTACTTTTTCTTGCATAGCTCAAAGCGCAAGATAGATAGTTTTTGTAAAACTCATTGCATTCCACGATTTTGCAATTTAATGATTTCTAGATCTATGGTCATGTACACAGGTGATTCCAGTAGCCTTGACCGGTCAAGATATTTTGGGTTCCTCTAAAACTGGTAGCGAGGCAAATATTTTGAAAAAAACTAGTATTAAATTAAGTGCAATATGCTTTACATTTTCTTGAATCTGGGGAATATATGTGTTGGACTAAATCATATTGACCACATAGATGATACCAGAAAAGATTTTTTAGACATAGCACTGGAGCAAAACACTCCACAAAAAGATCACTGGCTATTTTAGCACCCAGCAATTTATAGGGCTGGTCAAATAGGCTAATTCCAAAAGAATAATTTTTTCTAAAAAGTCTTTTTGTGTAACCTTCTGTAATTTTGTTTTACATCTCTGGGGGTTATAAAAAACGTAGAGGTTGTCAGCTAAAATCATCGCCACATTGGACTGCAGCATGCAGCACAGAGCTATACTACGATTTCATGTGGGAGAAAATATCCACATCCTGTAACATAGCCACCAAAGTAACCGTTTTTACTATAAGGAACCGTTTTTACTAAGATAACTATTTTTACTCTATCTGCCGTTAAATATAACGGCAATACAAAAAAGGATAATAATATGCGACATTTTCGCCTTTAAGTTTTTTCATTTACTCAAAAATCTAAGTACAGTCAAAAATCGTTAATCCGGATTCGTGTCGGGACTTCGGCGATTCCGGATTATCGATATTTCCGGATTATAGATCATCCGTTTAAATCTCGTAAGATGGCATGCAGAAATTCTAAAATTAAAAATATGAAACCGTAATTTATGAAATAAAGAACAATTACGATCTAAAGGGTATCAAAATTTACAAAAAAAAAAAAAAAAAAAAAGGCTTAATATTTATTTGTTTACTTTATTAAACATTTCTCTCAATGTAAGTTGTTTAAGTTGCTTCATTTTATGTGATAATACTTTCTCTTTAATTCTATAAAAAGACATAATTTCTTGTTGAGTTACAAAGTTCCGCTGTTCAAGTCCCGTTAATTGCTGTGCCGAGAATACCGACTAACTTGTCAATCGAAATTTTTTCGTTTTCACTAACCTCTTTGTAACCTTCTTCATGGTTTTATCCATTTTTTTGCAGCAATTCCACTTTTTGTTATATGGACATCGAAACATACTTCGTTCTGTAGATCCTTTGGAAGTTCCAGCATCGGAAATTCTATTTGACATAATCGAAAGTTCAAGTTTACTTTTATAAAATTGCTCTTACAGTCTTCAAAAAATAATAAGCGGGATCCAATTCGAAGATTAAGTAACAACGCAATCATTAACATTAACTGAAATAGATAATTAGATAATTTTAGCTTACACCGTCCGTTATACATTAAACGCGCAGGCGAAAATGTATTCTGCACTTGCGGACACGCATATGCGCAGTAGTCAAGGTCTTACGCGCACGCGTTAAACGCCTGTGCGCATGTGCCAACGCGGCGCATGCGCAGAAAGTTTTTAGCTTTGAGGTCCGGATTATAGATCATTCCAGATTATGGGTGTCCGAATTAACGACTTTTGACTGTATATTATAATATAAAACTTGATACTAAAAAAAATTAAAAATATATCTCAGGCCTCATATTAAATATCGTATTAAATATATCTCTGCCCTCGTATTAAATATTAATCTGTAAATGAGTTTTAGAAAAACTTATACTACCACCGCATGTTTTAGCCTATTGTACAAATTAACTGAGTTTTCCTGTGTCTGTTATTGTCGCCAGAGCACTACCTGATGTGCGAGATGGTTTAAAACCTGATGGAGGCCAGCACTAAAATTTACTTGACTTTCATTTACATCAGGGCCTAATACAGGTAGCCACTATTTCTACTAATAGTGATAGCAAAATCGGTAAAATGATTGCAGATGCTATGGACAAAGTGGGTAAAGATGGTGTGATTACCACAAAATTTCTTTTTTAAAAGGATTCAGAATGTTTGGGCTTTTAATATGGGTAAAAATGTCCAAGTAGGGAATCCACCTCACTCTTTTTATGAGCCAGCCAAGGAATAATTTGTAGAACATCGAATACTGCTCCTGTTATATCCAAAGCAGAGTGCTGAATCAGAAGTGGCATACTGAAGAAGAGGCACATATGGTTACTTATTCAATCACCCGTATATCTTCTCATGACGTGCTCAAGCTGCTGTTTTGCATCATGGTACTTTTGTTGGTGTTACTACTAGTCTACCTAATGCTCCTCAAATGCATGTAGCATGCTGTCGACTGCTCTTCCCCTGTTATAACTATCCTTAATAATTAATTACCTATTCTCTTTTTATAGCTTTTTTCTTCTCATAATGAGTTTTTTAATATGCTTAATGGTAAAGTTAAGAAACTTGCCTTTTGTAGAACCTAGCAGGTCACCTACTTTGGTAACAATAATGGTTTGAACAGACCCAATTTTTCATTGGTAAACAGGGACCAGACCGAACCATAGCAGACCTTTATACATTGCGAGTTTTTGCAGGTAAGGCTAAGTTTAGAATTTTTGGAAATGGGAAAGAGGTTCTTGAGTCTGCCCCCTTAAGTCTGGTATCTGTTCAGTGCATTGGTTTTTAAAATATTATATTTTGAGGCCAGGAAGAGCCTGCTTTTCCCAGATGAGAACCAAGTAGATCTACTGCAGCCTTTTACGGTTTCTACAATTTTGTGAGATTTTTTGTCAAATTTGCAATTCTACAATTTGCAATTCTGAATTTTTGTCAAATTTGCAATTCTACAATTTGTTCAGGAAGTGCTAGGTGTGTAACTACACAAAATATACTAAATACTCGTCAGAAAGCAGTAACCATAGATGAAGCTAGTAATTAAAGCCTTAGCTAGGGGGGTATATGAACCGTGATGCAAATCATTCTATTTCTGTAAAGGTAAGCATGATACCCAGCACACGGTTACAGGTATATTTTGTAGACAACGATGATCTATTTGGGCATATATCTTAAAAAAGTAGATGTGAATCGTTACAAACTTCCTGTTTTTTCTAGCAGCTATTAAAGCTGCTTCATTACACATATTAGAGAGATCGGCACCAGAGAATCCTTATTCAAGAAGTCCCAATCTGATATTTCATAGTGAGAAATATTTTCATGTTTTGCAAACAGGCTATTTAAAAATTAAATTTTCCGTAAAATTAGGTATATTACAATAAAACATTCAGAGGAAGCTCTTATCTTAGCGAGATCTTCCATATCAATGGCACTGTACGACAGAGCAGCTGAGGAACTGATTTTTGGAAATATTTAATTTTTTGGGAAATTGTTTTGTGGAAATGTGGTTCAGCCATAAAGCATAGGGAGTAGAAGTCAGATGATGATGCATAAACTATTTTTTGATGAATCCGCTAAACTTTTTAACAGTAAGGCATCCTATACGTTATTTTTCTTTTTACGCAAAACAAAAGTGGAAAGAAAGTTATCCCACTATTGAAATTCCAGTCATTTTAATGCTATATTTCACACATCCAGGAAATGCACTGGTTGATGCTTCTAAAAATGTATTGATTACTGATTTTGAGATCTCTTTTTGGTTGCTACATTTGTCTATTATACCACGAACAAACAGCTATTACTTTTGCGCCTTTAAATGTGCCATGTTATTATATTAATTTTATATATAGACTTAAGACCCTATGTTTGCACAAAATGTTTGTTTTATTTAATGTTTAAAGATTTCTCATAGTCGTAAAGGAAACAACGAAAAGCATTCAAAAACTGTCCCCTTTTTTATCATAAGGATGGAAATTCGATTCGGGATGTCACTAAATTGGTAAATTTATATAATTTCACAGTGCAGTATATGATAAAATGCTTTAACATGCTTTTTAAAGAAGTAAATAGGATCCAAAATAAAGTAAGAAGAGGTTGTCTGGCAAAGAGGACTCGACGTGAGAAAAGATTCATAGAACAATTTGTAAAAAATGAGTGTTTTAGAGATTTCTACAGAATTTACTGAAAATTTTATACTTCAGTTTCACTTAACACGTTGAACGCGGCATGATTTTGCTGTTCTTTCCGTTCAGCCGGCAGCGAGCTAAGCCGTATTTATGTTTAGAAAGTTTCAATACATTTAATTAAAACTAAATTTGATCACATTTCATTGGGACTATATTTTTTAACTTTAATACGCCAGCCAAAGAAAAATTCCAGTGCCGGTCCCCAAGGACCGACGCATGCCACACGGAAAGTTCACTGCCACGCTCAACATGTTAAGTGTTCGACGAGTATTTAGATCAGCTGGATAACATGTCTTATTTGCAGATAAAAGCAAATTTCCGATTGGCATATAATAGTATGGAGAAATAAAATTGAGGAACTTAATGCAAAGACATTGGTTGGTACAGTAAATTATGCTGGTGGAGGTTAGCATCCGGATTAAACAATTTAGTATTTATTCATGGCACAATGAACCATGATCTTTATTTAAATATTTTAAAAGATAATTTTAAATTATCCATCTAAAAATTCGATATTGGAAAGAACTTGATGTTTTTTCAGGATAAAGATTCTAAGCACACGGCTCTCAAAGTTTGGCTTTTGGATCCTATATGTGCAGATTTGTTTAAAGTGTATGCAGACTTTTGTGAGGTGACTTTTCTGTTACTTTAAACTTTTTTAAGGAATACCAAAAATAAAAAACTTGTTTATAAAAAAATAATTAATGTAGTTTTACCAAGAGAACGTTATAGATATGATTAAAAAGATCTTCACTCTAAAATAATAATTTTTATTAAGAAATAAAGCAGTGTTTCACAGAAACTCTTAAGTGAACGAACACTTTTGTGAGCCACTGTAGGGAGTTCCTATTTTGCTAAGCTTATTTGTAAAGTTGAGACTAGAAAATTACTTGATGTGCAAAGAATCTGAATATAAGTTAATGGAAGAAATTAATAAATTAAAAAACATGTATGAGATTTTTTATCATATTTCAAAAACGTCAATTATTCCTTTTCAATGCTTTAGAATTGAAAAGGAATAATTGACTAGGAAAAGGATAATAGAATGCCCAATTAAAATGCAATATTAGAAAATTTATATAATAAAAAGAATAGTCAATATAGTTTTTTATAGTTCTGTAATTTGTATGTTACCATAAATTATACTTTTTTTATAAATTATATGCTGAATGAAATTGAAGCGAAAATTATGCAGTCAGAAGAAATGATATAAGTTACCTAGTTATAGTATAGTTAGAAATGATATACAAGGTGTGTTCGAAAAGTTCAGTGAATTTTACCATAAAAAAAAAAGAAACAAGCAAAATAGCTTTTAGCTTTCAAAGTGTTCGCTATTAGCAACAACACGCTTTTGACATCGGGTGTACGATTGTTGGAAACTGTCTGGAAACGCTTCTTTCGGTATGGCTCGAAGCACCGTTGTTAGATCTCAGTAATGTCAGAAAAGTGTTAGCCTTTCAGAACTCCTTTGAAACAGTAGGTCTGGGGTAGCAGAGCTGGAGATACGGATGGCTCGTGGACATCTACTTCTGTCTTAAAGTTTAAACAACACTCATAAACACACTTTTTACTCACTGCTTCCTGACCGTAAACTTTCACTAACATGTCATGTGTATGCGTGAGTGCAAGATCCTAACCGGCGCGGTTTTTTAATTATGAGACTAATCACCGAACTTTTCGAACACACCTTGTAGTTACTACAGCAGAGATCTTGCTAGTATATGTTTGAGCTAAAAAATATTGAATATACAATATGAAATATGTAAAAATTTATTTTATTGTTACTTTTAGTCCTTAATGTTTACACTCTGTATCTTTTCTAACAGAATTTCAATTCTACCGCTCATTACCGGCTGCCCCCACTTTGTCTTCCTGGATAATTTTTTAAAGTTTTCTCTCTTCTTTTCAGTATATTTTTGCAATGCTTCCTCCTTCCTTT